ATACATACACATTTTTTATCCTAGTTGTTTTCATACAGTATTATCTCTTGACTTTGTAATGTAAACTATTATATACAGGCTGTTGGTGTTTATTAGGTTGTCTTCTCAAGAGGTTGTAAACCTCAGAAAACAGCTTTAAGTTATAACTGACAAATTAAGCAGTATAATTTTACACGTGAAAGCTTTGCAAGACTTGTCAAAACAGGTCAAAACTTAATCCACCGTTTCTCTCTAAACAGGTTTGCATAGGTGTAGGTGAAACTAGTTCACACTCTTTACTGAAACTGAGTACATTTTCTGTTTGGCTTCTGATCAACCATCAATGAGAATCATAAATCAGCAGTTGTCTCTTTGACTTACATTATATTTATGAGGCCGGTAAAGCAGCAGCACAGACAGAGACTGGTGAATTGACTCATGGATAGTCATTTGATAGTGCTTGGATATTTCTGTTGTAGAAGAATGTGTTGTGAAACATGATAACAAAGCTTTATAATCACTTTACATCTTTGTTTTGGTTGTTATCTGCTTGTGAAGCCTTCTGAGGAAACATAAACATATCAGTGTTTCATGTTCCAAGAATTCACTTCAAGAATTCTCTTTAAATGTTTTGATTTTTTTTTCTCTCTCTGTATTTTCTCTCTGTAAGACTCTGTATTTGCCAATGTAGTATAAGAACCCTTGGTAAACTCTTTCAGAAATTATACATAAAAGATGACATATGTTTAATGAAAAGCATGTATAATCCATTGACACGGCTGAGTGATTCCATTCGTTGTGTTTTTTTGGTCAGTTGCAGACACACTACAGTGAATATGCCAACAGTATGGAATATACTTGTGTTTTTAATTTGGCATTAATTTGTAATGCAATATTTTTTTTAACATTTCAACATTTAATTTCATATATAATTTTCCATTTGCCTAGTAAAAGACTAGTAAAAGTCATGGTATTGCATTTATTTTATTCTTTTTCAAGCACAATGATAATATAAAAAAAGTTGATTATTTTTTCTTTGGAAACAGAGATCCCTCAGAAGGGTAATGTCATATTCGGGGTCTTTGTATCAAAAAGTTTGAACCCCCTCTGCTCTAGATAGGCATGTAAAACAGGACGTCAGGATGTACTATTCAAAAAGAAACCAACAACATTTAGCAATCAGATTTTTTAATTTACAATTATTTATAAGTTATATAAATAACAAAGCTTAAAATAACTTAAAAGAGTCCATTTGAGATGTGGGGGTGATCAGAATCTTTCACAAGATGCCATCTGTTCTGAAAGTCTTGTTTCGCATCTGGGACCCTCTGTCTCTCGGGACAGCTGAAGCAAATCCGGCCTCAGCAGCTGGGACGGATTAAGGGTGGAATATCTAATGAGAAGTTCCCCTCAGATGGAGGAGCAGGATTCGGACTTGTGGCTATTCAAGTGGAAAATGCAGTCGCAGAAGCACATGGAGGGGATTGGATTTGTTTAAACAACCTTGTCCAGGACTGACTGTTGCTCCCGCTTTTTCAGTACGCCAGACGTAGTTAGCACATGGCATACACCTTTAATGGCAGAAGCAAAACAGACGGTGAAAGTCTATTGTTTGTATTGCTAATCCCTTGTTTATGCCCTGGTGTCTGTCGCACTTTTCAAAAAATCTCTTCTGATGAAATCCTTCTCCATGACATCATTTCTCTGTGTTGAGAGACAAAGGTAAAAGTGAGTAAAACTGAAAATATTCTATTGTTTTCTTTATTCTTACTTTTGATGAACACAGCTGTCACAATAATGTTAAAAATCATCATCCAGTATATTTGTGTTAATATGACAGTACGATCCCTGACTAATTCTCTTTATTAAAGTCACACAAAATTGACAATTCTGTCATCATTTACTTACCTATATGTTGTTACATTTTGTTTCAACTGAGTTGTCGATCATTACAGTAGGATGAAGACTTACACATTGCAGGTGGGAACAATCCTCTCTTCGGGGTGCCTGGAAAAACTCATTCTCTTCAGGAAAGACGGGAGTCGGAGTTTGGGTCTGTGTTGTTTTCGCACTGGACTAAAACCAGAGACAGGAGGAAGTTAGGTATGAATGGGAACACACATGCATTCATCCTTGACCTCGTGACTTATTTTCTAGCTACTATTACAGACACTCTGAGGTTTCTCTTTAAGTATAAAATTTTGAGGGATTTGAGAGCAAATGCTCTACTAACAAAATCACATGTGACAATGGGTGTACACTTTCTGCTAGTATTCTGGCTACTTATAAACTGAATCAGGTGATATGGAGGTTGCTGATTCAAAAGGCTCACTTGACTCTGTAAATTAATTTTAGCATCTGGTTGCATGTTACACATTAGTCACCAGTCACTGAGGGCCTGTTTACACCTGGTCATTTCATGCGTTTTCGCTGGTATTACCCAAATTTGATTAGTAATGCGTTATATTACTGCGTTACAGCAAAAAGTAATATACTACTGTAATATTATTACTTTTGTAATGCGTTACTCCCAACACTGCCTATAACACGCTCTCACACGTTTATTATTTTAATATTTTGGGAGGAGTAAAATGTACATATGTGGTTTCAACAACCAGATGCATTTACACTTGTCGAGTTTCGTCTGGAATGCGGCCCAGACCACCTCCTGAAGTGGTTTGAGCGATCGGATTTATATATCCGTCTCGTATGCGTTTCGGAGGGCATTTACACCTGGTCTTTTCACGATCGGATTGCTATCTGATCAGAAAAAACGCATGAAGTGACCAGGTGTAAACAGGCCCTCAGGTACTCGGGTCAGTGAAAAATAAGAATATGAGGACAATGAAAAATATTTTCTAAAATTAGTTCAAACAAATATACCAAGTTCCATTTTCAACAAAGGTTTACATGTAATGACTCTAAAAATGTCATGTGGTGTAACCAAGTTAAAAAGGAATAACATATTTTCCATGAATATGCGTGAGTGAAAACATTTTATAAAAAACGTTTTTGAACATATTTTTCAAGGAAAAAAATATTTGTACAAATATCATTACGTTTTTGGGGGAGTCGCACCCCATGACATTTTACACCCTGAACTAGCCTTGACATTTCATAAAACAGTCAAATTCTTTTTTAAGAGGTATTGACCTTGACACACAGTCATTAGGGTCTGCAAGGGTCTTTTCTATTATATCATTATATTTATATTATAATGATTTTTTTTCATTTTCTTCATTTTTTAACCAAACATTTTCAAATAATAATAATATTTTTATAAAACCGCTTAACTTTTTACTATAAGAATAATAGATTATGCCAGACTACTTAATAATGGTTTCTCTTTGAGTTCATTCTTTTTAATAAGGCTTTTTCTTAATTATATCATCAGGACAGTTGTAACCCCCTTTTTTTTTTTTGACAATGTCCCTCAAAAAAAAGAAAACAGTTTAATTCAGAAATTTAAAACATGCATCAAAGAAGTCATTGTATGTTTGAATTGCATTTCAAATGTATTTTTGAATACAATTAAGCATCATCTTGTCATTTCAGTGACCCACTCACCATTCAGCCTGTGATGAGGGCAGCACCTGCATATTAGCGTTTTCCCCCTGTTCTCTCTCGTCCTCTTCCTCCTCTTGCTCATCGCAAATGTTGTCCCACACTTGGCTATTGACAAAAAGAGCCTCCTGCAAGCTGAGCCCACGGTCCACACAAGTCACCTGGCGACAGAGGGGACAGCGAATGGTGCGCAGGCCGCTGTAATGCAGCCCCATTGTCTCCAAACAGGGGGTGCAGAATGTGTGGTTGCAGTGGAGAGTTCTGGGAACGCGGTCGATGCGGGAGTAACGCAGGTAACAGACCCCACATTCCTGATCCTCAAACAGCACCATGGCTGAACACTGGAACTGATGTTTGATCTGATGATCTGATGTTGGTGTAGTTCAGTCTTCTGGAAATTGTTTAGCGTACTCTGCAAAAACAAGGGGGAAAAAAAGACTTTCAAACGTAGTCCATACATGTAGTAAAAAATATGTAGTAAAAAAATTCTGTCATTATTTACACACATCCATGTCATTCCAAACCTATATTACTTGGAACTCAAAAGGGGATATTTTGAAAAAAAAAAAAGTCTAAGTGTTTGGACCACAACTTTCTT